CAATGCTACCTGAAATAACCTACAAATTTGATGTAATTTCTATCAAAACCAAATTTTGGGTGGGGGGGGCAGAAATAAAATACCTGATTCTAAAATTCACAAGAAATTACAAGAGACTCCGAATAGCCAAAACAATCCATATTAATCAAAACTGGGTGGTATTGGTAAAGGGTCAGCATCCCTATCAGTAGAAGAGTCCAAAAACAAAACCAATTATGATTTAAAAAAAACTAAATGGTCATAAAACCAATTAAGATATGTCTTTTCATGGCTTGATAACTTTTCTTTTTAGTAATGATTAATATTCCATTGTTAGGTGATACCACAGTTTATCCATGTGCCTACTCAAGGACACCTAACCTTTATGACCAATTAGTTTCTGACAAGGGTACCAAGACCGTTTAATGGGGAAAGAATAGTCTCTTCAATGAATGATGTTGGGACAAGTGAGAAGTTAGAAGGAAAGGAATGAGGTTGGATCTGACATTGTACCACACACAAAAAACTAACTCAAAATGAATGAAAATTCAAAACAGAAAATTCCAGGTCCACATGGTTTCACTGCCAAATTCTACCAAATGTTTCTGAAAGAAATTATACCAAATCTAAGTTCTCTTTCAGAAGATAGAAGGAATACACCCTAACTCATTCAATTAGGCTGGCATTACTCAAATACTAAGATCAGATAAAGATATCAAAAGAAAACTACAGATCAATATAGAACAAAATTCAGCAAATCAAATCCAACAATGTATAAGAACTGTATACAACAACCAAGTGATAATGTAATCTTGCTCCTTGACAATTACCCCAAAGAACAGAAAATTTATGTCCACACCAAACCTGAACATGAATGTTAATAATATCTTTATCCATAACTGCCAAAATTTGGAGACAACTTAGGTGTTCTTGAGTAGGCACATGGATAAACTGTGGTATCACCTGACAATGGAATATTAATCATTACTAAAAAGAAAAGTTATCAAGCCATGAAAAGACATATCTTAAACACATACACTAAAGTGAAAAAAAAGCCAATCTGAAAGAATAACAGAGTATAACTGCAATTAAGTAACAATCTGGAAAATGCAAAATTGTGGATTAAAAAAGACCAATGGTTTCAATGGTTTCAAAAGGGGTGAGAGGGAAAATGAAAAGGTTGAACACCAGATTTTTAAAACAGTGAAAATATTTTATATATAACAATGATGGATAATCATTTGTCCAAAACTATAGAATATATAGAAACCTATAGAATGTATAGAAAGAGTAAACAAATTTAAACTATGAATATTTTAAAATAGATTTATTTATGCTTACATAACTGGGGTACAGGCCAGAGGTGTGGTGGGTGAGAGGATTCACCAGAGACAGAGTGGGGAGCAGAACAGGCAGATTGACAAAGTACACTGCTGAGGGGAGCAGACGGCAGGTCCCAAGAGGTCTGTCACACCATGTAGGTCACCTCCAGGGCTGGGGATCTAACTTGTGCTGCAGTGGCTTCTTAAAGTTTCATAATATAGTGCTTTAACCTGTTGTGCCACCAGGGCGAGGCCCTAAACTATGAATTTAAATTGATTATGAAATTTCAAGGTAGGTTCATTAATTGTTAACAAATGTACCACTCTAGTGGGGGAATGTTGATAATGGAAGTTTTGCATTCATGTAATTACTCACAAGGCATAATGGAAACTCTGTATTTTCCCCTCAATTTTGCTGTAAACCTAAAATTGTTCTAAAAAATAGTTTCAACAAAAAGGAGAAACAGTAAAGTTACAAGTTCATATTGACTTACTTCATGACTTACTTTATATAACAAGTCCTCAGAATACTGGTGCCTGTCCACCCCATTCCCATATTAGCGCCCTAGGCCATTGCTTATTTCTTCATAATTTCACTGTCATTCTAGCACAACTCCAAAATTCAAAAAGAAACAATGTGAATAGGCTAAACTTCATCAAATACTAAGCTGATTCAAATACTTTTACTAGTAATAGGGAGAAGGTGTGTAGGATGGGAGTATATATATCCACTGGTGGGAATTACATTCCCACGCTGTTGGGCAAGTTTTTAAAGAAAAAATTGTGGGGAAGAAGGTGAGGTAAGTCTTAACTGTGCAAACTGAAAATAAAAAAAAAAAAAAAGCAAGCTCCCCATCCCCAATATTTTCTTAGAATTGAATGAAAGCAGAAACAAACACATACAAATAAGGCAAACTGTCTATCATAAAATTAACTTCTAATATACCTAATTATAAAGATACAGCAGGAGGAAATTAAATGTAACATTTAAAAAAATTATTAAATCTTTTCCCACTTGAAATGTCTTCTGAATTAATGACTGGGTTACTTACCCATATTTGTCTAATTTATAAACTGTGTATAATCACTGAAACCCCTCTACTAAACTACCCAGGAAAAAAAGGAGTATTTGAAGTTTTTCAGCATTAACAAGATGCCATGTGTTAAACTGTTAAAATAACAAGTACATATTGATCAAAGTTTCAGAGTATAATCACTGTTCTGTACCAAGGAATGCAGACAAAGCAGAGTTCCTAGTCTAGTTGTATGTTTATAATTAAATTCCACTGAAGTAGAAGCGAATTGTGTGCAGTAGTTCAGGAAGGTATTTACAACCCACTGCATAAAATACAAAGGTGAAATAAAGAAAGTTGATGCCCAAGCAGGCATTAGAAAAATGATTAATGACTAGATTTGAAGAAGTGAAGTAGTATGGATAGATCCTCACATACTGAGATAGTAGAATATTATGAAGATGATGGTTGGATATAATAACAGTAAACACAGACTGAGAAAGATTTTGTAGAAAAAAAAAAGCAGAAGAAAGGCTAAGAAACTTGTATCGTATGTGGTAAACAATGGGAAGCTGTAAGATATTTTTACTGTGAAACACTTGGAAGGGGAAACTGGCAGAGAAAAGCAGGAAGCATTAATTTAAAGAGGTATATATAAACTTTCTACATCTAGTTAGGGACCCCAATTCAAACATTTTGTTTTGTGAGAGCAAATAACTGAAACCCTTAAGGTCTGTTTTTCTTATCTGAAAATAGCATACAGCAGTGTTACTGGGAGAAAATGAATGTAATGTGATTTATACAATGTTTAGTAACTCAATATAGAGATACATATATCATTTACTATGTACCACTCACTAGCCTAAGATTTTTATATGCACTGACTTATTTAATTCTCACAAGGAAGTTACTGCAATTATCCCCATCTCACAGCAGAGGTAACTGAAGCAAAAACTAAAGCAGAGGTAATTGAAGACTACAGTTTTTGTGTAGGGGCCACACAGCTACTAAGTGGTAGTATAAGTGGGATTAAAACGCAGGCAATTTGGTCTCGTTTCATGCCCATAAACAGTATATTATGAAGCCCCTCTATAAAAGATTTAGTCAGTATCTTTAAAATGCTGGTTAGATTTTTAGCTTTCCAGTTTAAATTTTCATATTACTTAACTCAACCCTAGTGGATCCGAATCGTGAGATTTGAAGTCTAGGCATCACTGCTTAATAATACTTTCAAGTAATGTGTACACGGTTTAAAAAAAAAAAAAAAAGCTCACAGACTAGGTAAACAGGGCAAAAACTCAATCAAGAGTCCAGGATAAGGCAAAGGAAAAAAGGAAATGTAGAAACAAAGTTTACAAAATTGCCATTCGCTGGTAGTTATTTGAAACGAGCCAATTGCTTTCTGCAAGTTTTAAGAAAGTGTAGGTAATTTTTGTTGCAGTTTTACACAAAACATCCAAATTTCAAAGATCATAAATACTAATTAGTTAAAAGTATCTCTCTCGGCTAAAAATGAAACAAAAGCTCAATAGCAGAGATAGGAGAGTGAGAGTAGCCAGCACTGAAAGAAGGAATGTCTACTTTCAATATTAAATCTTGTTCTTTAAAAGATTTTACAAGGATAGCCCGATCCTTTCAAAAAGCTTTAAAGGAACATAAAATATCTGTTCTTTTAAAGTAAAACAAAACAATCTGACAGTTTTCAATAAGGCAAGATACAAAATTTCTGTACATGTACTAAGTTTACATTTAGGTTACACATTTAAACTATTCAGAAGACATGATTTATGATTACACTGTTAAGAGCCTGATATTTGATATAGCTCATTATTAAGAAAAAGAGAGAGAGAGAGAGAGAGAGAGAGAGACAGAGAACAAAACAAAACCATCAAAAACCCGTAGACAAAGAAAACGGTGCTGGAAACATTACTAGAGCACTTCCAAAATGACTCCACAACAACCCGGTTGGCCAATGAATGAAGTGGGTGAAAAGGCAGGTCTGTGGAACCAACTAAACCTTATCCCTATTGTTAGCAAACTAAGAGCCTTGTGAATCTCCGCTTTTATTACAGACAGTTTAAAAGAGCAAGAGTCTCGGATTTTTGCGGTACACGAAAAAAGTCAACCGCGAAAGAAAATATCCGGGTTTTAAATACAAAGGATACTCAGATTTCAGTTTAAATCCCCACCAGTCATTTCAAAGACTGACACTTCTCTGCGGTACAGAGTAATTAAGACTGACCCGGGTATGCTTCCTCTTCAGAGGAATTCGGAGCTAAGTAACCATCTCAACATTCTAAACCTGCCTCAACCTTCCATCTTTAATGAAAGATTCCTTTACCTGTGGCAACGCTGTCGCAATTAGATCTTACTACTGAAGCTTCAACATCAGAGCCGCAGTGGCGGAAATAATAGACTGTGATTATCAGAAAGTCGGAGATTCAGACCGACAGGCTTCTGAATGCCCAGAACTCAGAGTTGATTGCGTGCACGGGGATCGCCGGGCAGGGGAACGCTTCCTGGACCCCGATTCCCCACAGTTCCCACGCCCGGCCCCACCACCAGACATCCCCGAAGGCACCGCGAATCCCCGACTAGGTCATCCAGGCTCCCGACCCCTAGCTCCACCCGATGTCTCGCTTCTTCCACTGCAGCACAGTTTCAGCCTGTTATCCTATTCACTTACAAGCTGCGCAGGGCAGAAGTTGCAGAGCGACCGTGTCACTTCTGTCTCTGGCGTCTCAAGGCACGCCAAGCACGAGCAGCCCCATCCAACGGCCCACACAATTCAAATTCGCCACTTCCGCCACAACCCGGAAGGAACACTCGGGGGCACCGCCCCCTGAGAGGCGGGGCTCGCGGCGACGTAGGGATGGGAAAGAACAAGGCGCGCCTTACTTCTTGTCTCGCAGGGTGCTTGTTCTGTTGTTTTTCCTTCGCTTCAGTTCCTTTGGTCTCTTCCCTTGTTTACGTTCATAATAGAAGTCAGGGCGCGGGGTAGGTGCTTCTGTCCGGTGTTTCTTGTTTCTGAAATAATCTGAGAGGTGTTGACTTTCCATTACTTTAAGGACAAGAAAAATAAAACCATTGACTGAGCCGGGACATTTTTTTTTACCCCTCCCCTTACCCTCGTATAAACAACAGCTGTACGATTAGGAGAAAACCCGTTACGGAGTTTTCCTTATCTTAGTTCTTTCCTGGCATAGTCTTGACTTAGCCTTTTCCCTCTCCTGTTTGAGGCGGACAAAAGACCAATGTTAGAAAACAGCAAATATTTTTCCCCTGTGACAAAAAGATTATTTTTCCAGGTTGCTGTGTAGTTATCCTGTGCAATTGCTGGAAAAAGTCATTTTCCTTTACAAAGGACGCACAATATATATTTAATCAAAACACCTTTTGCTTCTGAAGGGATGCATCTGGGAACTTCAAAGGAAAGGAAGGACTGAACATGTTCTTAGACAAAAAATAAAAGGGAAACTAAATAACTCACCTTTTTCGCTGCGACCAGAGCATCTCAACATCTAGTAATACTGATTTAGCTATACTGATTAATACAATCCAAGTCATGACACAACACCTTCAGTCTGGGTCAAAACTGCAGCTTTGAAGATTCATTACATTTTTAGGAATTAATTTTACAGATAGTCTGACTCAAAAGGGTGTAAAGCTACTAAACGAGGCACTGTTTTCAACAGTCGGAAATAAACCTAAAAAAATCTAACAATAAGGAAATGATTAAAGTGTACTTTAGTAGTATGGCTACTGCCAGGTGCTAACAATAGATTAGTAGGTACTCAAATGAAAAGGCCAATTTTGGAAGGACTGTACATAGTCTCCTTTAAAAGTAAATACATTGCAGACAAAATTTCTTGGGAGCCAACGGGTTAAACCTAAGCACTGTGAAGCTATCCTCAGCCAACACAGCACAAGTTCCTTGAGGAGAGGACCCACTTGATACAGCAGACCTCTTCTGTTCTTCCACACTGCTGCCCTCAGCAATGTATTTCAGTAGATCTGCCTGTTCTGTTTCCACTCTGTCACTGATGAATCCTCTGATCCCCCACACCTCTGGTGTCGCTCAGTTCTCAAATGCATAAATAAATCTTTTTAACAACAAAGTTTCTTCGATGGATACACAAACTGTAGTGTTCTCTCTGGGAATCTGATTCGTGAATGGGGAAGAAAAGAAGCTTTTACATTTTACTTTATAATCAGCTGAATTTTCCAAATAACAAGCATGTTCTTACTCTTGCAATTTTGTTTTGAAAAGGAAGCAAATTCCCTATACTCTGGATACAGAATCAGGTTTAATAAATGTATAAAATAGTTTGTCCATTCATTCATATGACCACATATGATTTAACATCTCACATTTCTAATATGGCCCTATTATATATTGTTCTTTCAAGTTCCTGGAAGGTAGAAGCTATGCCATATAGTTTTCTGTTTTTCATAATTTTTATACTTTCCCATCATTAAATTTCATCTGTTACATGAATTCAATTCTCAGGTTAGTCAGCAATAAAAAGTAAAATATTCTCAATTTTTCATTGAAGAGTCCCACAAATAAACAATATATGACAAAAACTCATATAGCTGTGGTTATCTACTGATACACACACACACACACACACACATATATGAAATGTATGATTTTACAAATGGGATATATTATTTATATGATATTTTTATAGAACTCATAGTTAAGTTTTTTAAAATGTTAATTCACTGAATTTCCTTTTTTTATTTGTGTATACAAGAACTGGAGTACAGGCCAGAGGTGGGGGTGTGAGAAGACTCACCAGAGACAAAGTGGGGAACCAAAGAGGTAGGTTGACTGAAGTATACTGTTGAGGACAGCAGTGGGAGAGATTGAAGAGATCTGCTGTGCCATGTGATACACTCCTGAGCCGGGGAACTCGTGCTGTAGTGGCTGCAGATAGCTTCATAGTACTGAGACTTAACCCCTTGCACCACCAGGGAAGCCCCTCCTTAACCATTCTTTCTAGGGGACCCTTATTAAGTTCTTCAATTTCTTACATCAAAATGTCGACAAAGTTATCATTAGCCAGAAACTTTGCTATGTCAGACCAATCATATTGATTTCTCATCAGCCCCTTAAAGTTATGGACAGATATTTCCCATATGAATGCCCAGGCTTACTTGTATAAATTCCCTTGGGTTGGTGTTTATTAAGTGAAATATTAAGATTATTTTAATTATTTAAACTGAGTATAGGTAAACTTGAATACATTCATATTTCAGGTAATGCTTGAATGCATTCCATTATTAAGAAGATTTTCAGTAAATACCCACTAACTAAATAAGAAGCCTAAGTACACATGGACTTAATTTTTTAAAGAAAACACTCCATATAGGAGATATTTAAATCTAACAAATCTGGCTATCAGACCGAACATTTTGATAACTAATCATTTTTTAAAATTAAGTGACATATGTTGATGTCAGTATTTCACTAATACTGCAAAAACTGGAGAAAAAACAGACTATTATTTAATCGTCTGATAATCCCTTACCAATCTGAACTAATTGCGAATGTAATCAAATGAAAATTTGAATCATAGCTAATGTAGGTTTCTGTATTAACTGTTTTTCTCTTCTTATTCACTTTACATGTAGCAAAAAAACAAAACAAAAACTCTTGAAACCAATAGTTATTAGCTCACATACTAGAGTCAATGCAAAGTGCTTTGGCAGAAGAGTTTCTAGAATTTACTTTGAAAGGTTTTTATCCTAACCAACATGAATGACAAAAACAAAGTGCCAAGAAATAAACATTAAAGAGATGTATGACTTGATATTAAAACATGTAATTGGACAACATAAATAATTTAAATTTTTGTAAATGTAAGATGAGCATACAAGAATTATTAAGACATTTCAGAGGAAGACTAGTAGAGGTTGAGAGTACACAATATGTCATTCAAGATAGTTAAAAACACAAATCTATGATCAAAGAGTAGAAGTTAAAAAAGTATTAGCACCATGGGACTATGGTGGTGGCACGCGGGTGATTTGGTGGTGGGAAACCCGCGGGGATTGCAATCGAGATGGAAAAAAAAAATGTGCAAAATGATGTAAAAATAAACTTTTGTAATAATTAAAAAAAAAGTGTTAGCATAAAGAAGACAAATACATAAAAAATCCAGAAAAATGTAACTTTATATAGAATATTAATATTATAATAATACAAAGGTGGATTTAAGTTTAATGGGAAAGGAATAGTTTTATTCATAAATGTACAAGGAAAGCCAATGACTGGCTGTATATAAGGGATAACCTTTACTTTGCACCATATGTCAAAAACAAATTCTAGAAGGAGAAAGGAAATACAAAAATTATAATAAATAAATGTTGGGAGAAAAATTAAAAGAATAACTGTGAGCTTAAAAGTAGAAGGCTTTTTTTTTTCTTTTTGGTAAATATTTTTATTTATTTATGCATACAGAACTGGGGTACAGGCCAGAGGTGCAGAGGTGATGAGAGGATTCGCCAGAGACAGAGTAGGGACACAACAGGCAGATCAACAAAGTACACTGTGGAGGAGAGCAGCGGGAGAGACAGGAGAGGTCCGCTGTGCCATGTGGGTCACCTCCCTGACTGGGGATCAAAGTCATGCTTTGGATCACTTCATAGTGCTGGGCTTAACCTGTTGCACCAGCAGGGAAGGGTCCCAATTTTCTCTTGTTTATCTGTCTTTTAATCAGCTTAATGTGTGGGACTCCAAGTAGTGAAAAAAAGAGGATAAAGGAAAAACTTTTCCATTCCCATAAAACACTACTAGTAAAGTTCAAAGTGTTTAAAAGGCAAGATTCGCCAGAAAAAAATTAAAAGAGAAAAGAAAGACCATGAGAAAATATTTATAATACACATGCTGCAAAACTAATAACTCTAAGGTAAAACATTATATTTCAAAAATATTTTCAAAAAGCAATAAAAATAGGCAAAAGAAGTGTAGCTATTCATTAAAAAGGAAATTAGAGGGCCCTCCCTGGTGGCGCAGCGGGTTAGGATGCAGCACTGTAAGCTAGCAGCAGTGGCTTCACCCTGGAGGTGACCCACATGGCGCAGCAGACCTCCCCTGTCTCGCGTGCTGCTCCCCTCAGCGGTATACTTTGTCAATCTGCCTGTTCTGCTCCCCACTCTGTCTCCGGTGAATCATCCTCTCACCATCCCTGAACTTCTGGCCTGTACCCCAGTTCTGTATGCATAAATAAATAAATCTTAAAAATATATATATATAGATGCCTTCAAATCCTGAAAAAAAAAAAAGGAAATTAGAAAAATTAGAAAGCCCAACAGACAAAAATATTCAACAGTACCACGACACAATTTAAAAATAATTTTTTACTTTTAATTTAATTATCAAAATTAAAACAATTCCTAATATCCAATAGTGGGAGGTAATGGTGGCAACATGTACATTTTCATCTACTGGGGGAATGCTCTGCTACAAATTCTTTGGAAAGCAGGTCACTGACCAAGTCTCAACTTTGGGATTTTCCTACATACCAATAACCACACTAGTGCTTTTGGAAACATTCCCAATTAGAAATAAACAATCGAGGTTAGAGGCTTCACAAAGTTGTATTGCATTGCCTCCTAAACTGGTACCCCAAAAAAGAGGGCTACTGAATCTCCAAAGACAAAAAAAAAATGAAAATGAAGAATGATATTTAATTTAAAAAGTAAATTCTCTTAAGTAGTAAGACTGATATGTTTGGCTTTAAAGCATGACAGTCATTCTTTAGCACTCAAGTAGAATCAATACACATGGATTAAGTTGTACTTTTCAGTAATGTACTGTATACAGTTCCTACTCAATCCTCTCATAGTTTAGTCACATTGAATTTCTGTTAACACTTTCTGTCTTTCATATTGGTCAGAATTTCTTGATCCTCAAGTCCTACTCATACTTGATCTACTCTTTTGGCAAATCCTGGTCTCTTATACTTAGGAATGTCTGTCTTAAGGATACCTTTCTTGATCTCTACTTCTAAAACACTCCTTAACAATCCCTGTCAATATTCTGCCTACATG